ACATGTGCTAAACTACATTCTTAGCAGTGTTACTTGTCATAGCCAGAACCTGGAAACAACCTAAATACCCCCCAACCAAAGCATGGATAAGGAAAATGTGGTATGTTTACACAATGGAGAACTACACAGCATAAAAAAAATAATGACATTTTGAAATTTGTGGGCAAATGGATGGAGCTGGAAAACATCATATTGAGTGAGGTAACCAATACCCAGAAATACAAATATAATATATACTCACAAGTAGCTTTTAAACACAATGCAAAGAAAAACCAGCCTACAGTTCACAATCCCAGAGAACCTAGACAGCAAAGAGGACCCTAAGAGAGACATGCATCGATCTAATCTACACGGATAGTAGAAAAAGACAAGATCTCCTGAGTAAATTGGGAGCATGGGGATCATGGGAGAGGGTAGGAGGGGAGGGGAGAGGAAGAGAGAGGAGCAGAAAAAACATATATAGTTCGATAAAAACAATTTTAAAAACCACAGAAAGTAAATCTAGTGCTTAGGTGATAAATTCTGGGAATACATTCTATAATGATTAAAACCAAGATGCCCCCAAGTCCAGGGAGCTCACAGACTGTTCACCTGGAAGGTAATAACAAAAATAATACAACTAGCTCCTGGGAGCTAGATTTCAAACACTATGGAAGAAACTGATAAAGTAAAGCAAATGAAAGACAAGCACCCAAGCACATGGCCTCTCTTCCTGCTACCTCCTCCCAGCTCCCCCTTCATTGAGCTTTTGGACTGAGTAGCAGAAGTCTGTCTGACCCAATGTCAGTCATCTCTCAACACATTCACATGGGAGAGAGAAAATCAAGTGTGTGCCTGCGGCCAGTGGGAGGCAATCTCTCTGCCCTCACACTGGGGAAGCCTTAGCATCCAGATGCACATTTCCACTGCACTAGGAAAAGAACCAGAAAACTCTGGATGCATACAGATTTAGGAGTTCCTGGGTACAGACATGCCCCCTTCAGAGTATGCTTTTTTCTTTCAGGTCAAATAAACTTCGCTCTTCATAGGGGAAGGGTGTGCATGCATGCGTATGTATTCATGTGTGCACTCACAAGTGTGTTGGCCAGGGGTCAGCAGCACAAGTCTCCCTCAGTCATTTTCCACCTTATTAATTTTTTTCTAGATAGCCTTTTACTGAGCCTGGAGCTCACCAATCCTGCTATACTGTCTTGCCAAAACCCCACAGAGAGCTTCCTGTCTCTGCTTCCCTAGTATTGATAGTATAGGCAAGTGCCATCATATGTAGCTCCTTTTACATAGATGCTGGGAATCCAAACCCAGGCTCTCATTCTTGCATGGTAGGCACTTGGTTAGCCAAGCCTCCACAACCCCAACTCAATCTTTACAGTTCTTTAAAAGCCAATTGTTTGAGTAGCTATTTTTTAAATTAATTTTTGTATGTGTATGTGTGTGCATACGCACCTTCATGTGTCATTGTTCCTGTGTAGAAGTCAGAAGACAACCCTTGCGGGACAAACTCAGAACTTCGGGCCTGCATGGCCACTGCCTTGAATCACTAAACCATGCCTGCAGCCCTTGAGAAATTATTCAATACCAACTATACTCTTAACCCCATGATAAAAACAGCAAAACTGTTCAAATATGTCAAAGTTTTGAGAAGCCAAAAACATGGAGAATGATTCCTAGCAGGATCCAAGTGGACCTGTGTCAAACGTCTCATGTTGCCAAGCCCATTGACCGAATACGAAAGCCCCGTGCTTGGGACAATTGTCTTTTTCATCAGTTATACAACACCGTCGATGAGACTCTCCCACAAGCCAGCTGAGCTTTCCCCCAGCGCTGTGACTTTGGAGAAATTATGGATTGCTAAAATAGGACTTGCAAAACCACTCAAGACATCGAGGGGCTTTGCAAATTGCTCAGACATGTGTTTGGCTGTTCCAGGGTGGTTCTCCTGGAAAGAGGCCATGCTGTTGCTGAGACGCCAGGAGAAAGAAGCGTGCCAAACTGACAGTGACTAACAAGGGATAGGGTTTCAATGTCCAGAAATGACAGAAGAAAGGAGCGGAGCGTGGTGATGGTCTCACATCAGTCATTGGATTGTTCTTGCATAAGGAGGAAGCTCATGCCTTCCAGAGAGCAGTCTTCTTTCTCAATTAAGTCTTAAACTAAGAAATAGCACTGACCTCGCATCCATCCACACCTTTCTTGGCTGCATGCTATTGCTCCCATAATGGTGTGATAGTTTCATGGTTTGGTTTATGGGCTTCAGGGCATACCTGGAACCAAAGCCTGAACCTTAATCCACTTACAGGCCAGGCTATGCACCTGTACAAACCCTTGGATTTCCATCAATAAAATGGGATGGTAGACTACTTCCATAAGATACAATTCATGTAATACACTTAGGATAATAAATACCATGTTGAATATGTGCCCTGTTACGTTCTTAAGATGCCTTCAAATGTCTGGAGAGATGGTAAAGACTGTAAAGCGCTTACCATGCAAGTATGAGAACCTAAAGTTCATCTCCAGCTCCAACATAAAATCTGAACATGGCAGCACATGTGTGTAGTCGCACCACTGGGGAGGCAGAGACAGGAGGATCCTGGCAGTCAGTCTAGGCTTTCAGGGAACCCCATGCTCAACGAGAGACACTGCATCAAAAAGAATCAGGTGTGGAGCGATTAAGGAGGACACTGTAAGTCACCTCCCACCACAGTGTATACGCACACAGGTGTACAGACATCCACATGAGAGGCCCCTGCTTATTTTATAAGTAAAGGTGAATTGGGAAGAGCCTTGACTTGTCCTTTTGTTTGTTTGGTTGGTTGGTTGATTTCTCTATTTGGCTTGAGTAGGATTTACGTTTACTTTTCTGGAAGTTTTTTGGCAAGATTTCTTTCTTTCCCCTCTTTTGTTATTTTAGACAGTGTTATGCTACATAATCCTGGCAGGCCTTGAACTCACAATTCTCCAGCCTCACTCAGTCTAAAGTACTGGGATTACATGTCGACAACAACCACGCTTATAGATGGGAATATCCTTGACCACCACCCCGTTAGCTGTAGAAGATCATGGGTCCGAAAACCAACTGGTCTTGGACTCAGGCTGTGAAGTAACTCGGGTGCTGAAAGGTGAGCCCTCTAAGCAGCTTCAGCCTTGGGGACAGATAGTCTCAGTGTGAATGAGATGGTGACAGTAGACTGGCCGAGCATGTTCCCACTTTGGTACTTCTTAATACTTTATTGAGAAATAATGTAAGAAAGGTACTTGTGTAGTACACTAAAATGCACATTATTCAAAGTGTCCTTATAAACAATAATATTTATAGTTTAAAACTATGGAGATAAAAATAGTATTTCTTTTCATGTTGTTTTCTTTTGTTTTTAAACAAGCTCCCGTATATCCCTGACTGACTTGGAAGAGCTATGTAGCCTTGAACTTTTGATCCTCCTGCCTCCACCTTCTGAGTGCTGGGATCACAGGAGTGTGGCACCATATCCTATTTATGCTGTGATGGAGGTTGAAGCAGGACTTAATGAACACTAAGCTTCAAGCTCCCAATCCCCCGTCAATAGCTTTTCTTTAATTGCTAATATGGTTGCCTCCTTTTTCCATATTCTTCATGATTTTTTAAGGGATCGCCTCACATCATTTGTTCTCTTTCTTATGAAGGTTTATTTCTTATTGATTTGGAATAGCTCATTGTCTGTGGATGATAAACACTTGTCTTTTTCCTGCATACAGCTTTGCAGTCATTTATTGTTTTTGCTTTTAATTTACAACAGAAGGTTACATTTTTCTTTTACCTGAATTAACTGTTTTTTGTAGTCATTTTTATCTTCTATTTTTAATATTTAAAAACTTGTTCTTTGCTATAAAACTAGTTAATAATAAATCTTTTTTATATAGTATTGAATGTGGCTCATTTATTATCTTTACTTAGCCCTTTAGTGCATCTGGAACAGGTTTATCATTATTATTAATAATCAATATAGTCTTTCTAGAAATGAACGCACATTAAGTGTTCAAATTCCTTTCTTCATTCTGAGATAGTTCAGACTCCCCTAGAGAATGATGCTGCCCATAGTGGGGAGTCTTCTCACAGTTAGCATAAGAAAGACCCCATGAGAGATGCCTTCAGGGCAACCTCATTCATCTAGATCAGTGCTGACTGTGGCTCCCTTCCCAGGCAAGTCTAGATAAAGACCAGTTGTCAATGAGCTCTAATATCACACCCATGAATCCACAATTTCATAAAGTATGAAAATAAAACCTCTCAGGAAAAATAAATAACAATCCATCATTCTAAAATTGCAGAAACAAATATGAAAGAGAAAAATCACAAAATTAGACACCAATAAATAATGCACCCAAAGAAAACACAAGTTAAAAATTTACTGTCTTTCGACAGCAACAATTGAAGTCAGCCAACAATGCAAATGTCCTCTAGTGACCCGTCTGAACTTGGAGCTGTGGGAACGGGCTGCAAATTTTGTTAGAACCACTTCTGAATTATTGAGACCTGGATTCTTTGTTCTGTGGGTATGCCAAAGGGATTGCTAAGGGTTCTGTTCCACTGTTGGTCAAGGAATCTCCTTTGGACACATTTTTGTTGATATGGTACTGTTCTATTTCGTTGTTTCATTTTGTCTAGTTTTGAGCCAGGTTTGGTTATGTAGCCCAGATTGTCCTGAAACTTGCTATGTACCACAAGCTAGTCTCGACTTCGTGTTCCAATGTACATCACCATGGCCAGGCAACAATACTATTGAGTGGCTCTCTCGTTGTGTTCCTATATTACTCACTTTGTCCTCTCTAGTTCCCTCTAGCCTGTCCTACTTTCTTCCATAGAATCTATCAATGACTTATAGGAAGCAGTTTAAGGATGTCTGGAAGGAGGAACAGCTGGATGGTAAAACAGACATTTGGCATCAACTGAATGTCATTCACAAGGCAGATTATCATCCCAGTCAGAAGCTTGAGCAAGCAATGGGCAGGCAGCACTCACTCACCTGCTGGAGTTTGGCTCCCACCATGGAGGCACTGATGTCAAGCACGAAAACCACATTCTTGGGTAGAGGAGGGAGGTCTTTGGGAGCAAAGTAGTGCACAAAGTAACCATTCAGAACCTGGTGGAGGAATTCAGAATAAGAAAGGAGATTACGAGAACAGTCGTTAGAACTTGTAGAACACAAAGATGTCATGAAACACAAATATGACATGAGACAGAGAGTCTAGGCTTCTACACCAAGAACAAAATTATCTACAGTCTTGATTCCTCTGAAGGAACTAGTGTTAACTAATATAATAAAGTAGAATCATCTCTTTTAAGTGTATTCATCATGGACTGAGGTGAAACTCAGTGTCAGAGTGCTTGCCAAGGATATGTAGACCCCTGGACTGAATCTGCATCACCTTGAAAATGATATAAATGTATACACGGGTATAGATACATAGACCATGACAAACCACTGACTTTAATTATGCATCCCCTTCTGACCTTGCCTCTTGAGAGTCCTGCTTCTTTCATTATCTGTGTTTACTAAGCGTCCTACACAGGGAGGTGTCAAGGTTGTCTGCATTCTCTGCGCACATCCACAGATTTTAATATTCTCACCTTGTCTCTGCAGCAATACAACCTGGAGGGAAATAAGCTCAGGAACAGTCTCTTTTAATTAAAGCTGAAGAGGTGCTAAAATTCTAACCTCATCTAAAACACCACAGGGAAAATTATATTATAGATTTCATTTGCTGACCGGGTTACTGAAGCACAAAATAGGTACCTGTGGCAGCCAGCAAAGGAGCGCCACTGGTCTCTTTGAAGACATATTTGGGGTTTAAACCGTTTTACCGAGAACCAGAAACATCTTTCACCTTCAGGTAAGTGTTGGAATCCCTAGTTCTGAATTGAACAGAAAGGATCGTGCTCCACACACAGCGGCATCATGGAAGCCATTACCTGGATGTCACCAATGCTCTGCTCTCTCTTGACATCATATCGAATGATGAAATCTCCCAAAATTCCATTCTGGGCAATCTTAGCTTGTTGGACCACAGTTGGCTTAAAAATAACTTTGGTAAAAGTTTCATTTTGGTTGATGACTGTAGAAGGGGGAGGACCCGTGTCGCCTGCAAGTAAGATATAAACACAATTAAAAAGCTGAAATTATAAAGCCTTTACCCGAAGAGAATTACCTTTTGCAAAGACACAAGATGTTAGACTTCAGTCTATTGGATGTTTGAAGTTCTGGTATCTTCTAAGAACGTTTGTCAATTTCTCAAGGCATAAAGGGTTTGTTTGGGCCATCGTTTGAGCAGATACATAATGGAGCGGAAACTGGTCACATTGCAGCCAAGATCAGAAAGCAGAGAGATGAATGCCTGTTCATCCCACTTGCTCCTTTTAATCCAGTCCAAGACCCCATCCCATGAAACAGTGCCACCCATAGTGAGGGTCATCGTTTCTACCCCGATAAAGCTAATCTAGACAATCCTTCACAGGCACAGAGGATTGGTTTGTGTCTTGGGTGATTCTGGCTCCTGTCAGATCAACAATATTAGCATCACAGAGAGTCAGAAGAACTTGTGTTAAGATACTGATTTACTTTGCACTGGGTGTGAGTCCTTGCATAGGCTACCAAGCCATCTGTAAAATACGTTAATAGCAGTACTGATGTCATTCTCTGGAGAAGATCCAGTGATGTGGTGTACTTATGTATCACTATCCTAGCTTGCGCGAAGCATCACTTAAGCATCTGTAGAGTAGGAGGAGTTCAATATGGCATTATGGACATGTCACACTTAGGATGACACGTGACTGTCACAATGAAATAACCTACAGGGGGTGATGCTGACAGTCTTGTTGAGGGAGAGCATCCAAGGGTGGAGAATATATTCTCTATTCTTCACTTACATAGAGTTCAAAGTCAAATACAACTTATCCAGAGACAAGCGAAGTAGGGTGAGTGCTCCTTTGGGAGGACAGGTGCTAAGTTAGAAAGAATACAAAAGAAACTTCAATGGGACGTATCCTATGTTTGATGTACAACATAGTAAGATGGATGTACTTAGTGTAAATGTGTGAAGGTGTATGTGTGTGTGTATATAACTCATCAATACTTCTGTATAAGTTTTATGTACTTTATTCTCTTGTTTTTATTTAAACATGAGAGTGGGAGAGTAGAATGAATTGAACAGACACTCTGTGGCAAGGAACATAATGAGCATAGTTTGCCAAGTGAACCCTTCTCTGTTCCTCTCCTTGGAGTAAATGTGCTTCTGGAGCCACTTATATGGGAACTAGGGGGAGGAATCCACAGATGTTACAACCGGCAGAATTGAGATGGGGATAAGAGTTACTGGAAGCACTTGCCATGCCTGATCAGTTACATGGAAGACCATCAGCGGTCACCCCTCATTGCCTTATCAGTTAAATCAGAGACCATCAGTAGTCACCCCACATTGCCTTATCAGTTAAATCGGAGACCATCCGCGGTCACCCCTCACTTTACTACGGTCCAAGCAAAGGCTGAAGAGTCATCTACAGGGCATCAAGCAGGCCTCAGCCTCAGAAGAGTAGTATTAGCAATGTCTCAGAAACTTCTAGATGTGTCAGTTCTCAGGCCCTTTCCAGAAACTCTCAATCAGAAACTCTGGGTAGAACTTTAACAAGCCCTGTAGGTGACTCTCTGGTTTATGACAATGGAAAATAAGGGATATGCCTTTCACCCAGACCTCATACCACATATGCATATCATAGCCATAGCCTTTGCAGTGTGTAAATAATCCCAATATTCTGCAATAATCCAATGCATTCTCATTAAACTACTAACATGCACCCACTTTATCTTGCTCCAAATCTCTCACATTAAAATGTCTTCTGAAAAGTTCCCCAATTTAATCCGTTTATAACATGATGAAAGTCCTGGGAATTCAAAGACTCTAACTTCTTTCTTCTGATTTATTTGACTAGGTTCTTTGATACAGACCATGAGAAAGGGTGTGTTTTATTTGTGTTGCCTGTTGACCTCTGGTGTTCATTCATGATGAAAATTCATGAGTTTCATATAAATGCTTTATTTCACAGGCCCAAAGAGTGGGTGAATTCTCTGTTTGGTTCTTCACCAAGAAGCCGAATTCCTGAGGCTGGCTCCCACCCACTAAGTGCCATACAGCTAAGGTTTTCTACCAGCATGGTTTCTACCACTATGGGGAGCAACTCACAAACAGTATCTTTTAAAAACTATTATTGTACAGGCGTGTACAGGTGTGCCAGGACAGGTGTGCAGAGGCCAGAGGTCAACTTTCAAGAGCCTGCTCTCTCTTTCCCTCTTTGACTCCAGGGATCAAGCTCGGGTTGTCAGTATTGCAGGGCACGTTCTTTCACAGTCTGGCCTGAGCCACTTGCCCATATCTCTAGAAAATAACAGTGCTCTGGGCACTGTGACACAGCATGAAGGCCCGAGTACCCATCTTCAACCCATGTAGAAAGACGGGCATGGTAATGAGTGTCTGTAATTCCAGTGCTTGGGTGTGGAGATGGGGCTCCTGGGGGATTCCCTGACCAGTCAATCTAGTCAATCAGTGAGTTCCAGATTCACTGAGGACCTTTGACCTTCAGGTGCACAAACACGTGCACAAATGTAGGTGTGCACACCTACACACGCAACACAAAAGAAAGGGGAAAATAAAATCCTCTGTTCATTAGAGAAAGGGAAATCTGATAATTCTATTAATATAGACTTCCAGCTACTCACCTAAACCCCAAAGCAAAATAATCCTATTTAATACTTTTGACTTTTCCTTGCTCTGAACTAGGGTTCACATTGCTGACTGTCACACAGTACTTTATAAGCACAGTGAGCTGAGTTCGCAGGGCCCTTCCCCGTGTTCTGAAGACGATGAATCCCGGAAAGGAAGGCTTTGCAAGCTGACCGGAAGAAGAAAACCGCTGTCACACCTGTCTAATAAGAGGCCTTGTTTGTTTTCCTCCTCTTTGTTTTCTGCCTACTTGGTTAAAGAGGAAGGAGTGAAGGGGTAGCTGCCACAGTTAAGGGCACTGAATCTTGTCAACTGTCACCAAGAAAATGCACTAGCTGCTCCCTGTACCCAGAGACTCCTCTCAGGTCACCAGCCTTCCCTCCCACCCCGCCTATCCTCCTGTGTACAGCTTGGACTTCAAAAGCAAGAAACAGTATTCTGTGGAAGCCATGTAATAGCAAAGAAAGACAACTCTAGTGTTTCACAGACCCTACGTGACTGGCTCAATGTTTCAGTTTTGCATCGGGCAAACTGGAGCACCACCAGCATGCATCATGGCCAGGACAATGTTGATCATGGCTCCCGGTACGTAATAGTTGTTCAATACATAATCGCCTATGTATTCATTAGTTTTCTAGTATAGTGTGCAAAAATGCCTGATACAGCAACTTAGGGCAGAAAGGCTTCATTTTGACTCAGTGTGAGGGTACAGTCTATCACTATGGAGGAATCACAGCAGAGGAGGCCAAGCAGCTGGTCACATTGTATCACTTGCTTTCTGCTTTTCTCCTTTTAATTACAACAACCCCAGTCCATTGGATGGTGCTGCCTCCGCCCCCTGGAGGTTTAGCCTTTGGTCCTCAGAGGAACCACTCTGGAAGCATCCTCACAGACATGCCCGGAGGCAAGTCTCATAGTGACTCTAGATTCAGTCAAGAGGGTGATGAAGCTTAACCATCACAGACCCTCTCTTTTGGAGTCATTTCCTGTACTCTGCCCATTACAAAAGACATATTAAAAGGAAAAAGCTATTATCTGTTGATGACAGCTAGTCTGCATTTGGAATCACAGTTTGTTTACCGATGACAGGTCGATGAAAACAATAATTTGGAAAGGCCTGGTAAGGCCTTATGAACATTATTGATCTGGAATTTAAGAGTGTCTATATAAAGAACAATTTTATAAAGTGCAATGAAGGTAGCTGCTTCTTAGAGAGCCCCCTGAGAGGGTTGCAGAATTCTCATATGAATGCATGCATACGCTTTTCTGAAATGAAGATTCATAACTTCTGCTAATGAAATTCAAGTTTATAAATGCGGTTTCATTTTCTGCTTGATTCTACCCTTTAAAGACAAAACACACATTTGGTTGGTATATATAATATATTATATATTGTTTCATCTCTAGAGAGAGGTTCAGAGGTTCAGAGGACACAAACTTCCAGTTTTGTCTTTATGCTAAACCACGGATGCTAATCACAAACAGATATTCTTTTTAGACAACCACAAACGCTGCGGGAAGGATGCCAGTTACTACATAAAGTGTCAAAAGGTGACAATACATAGGGGCCAAAGAACCATGCTCAAGGACACTGGCTGGAAGCTACAGCCCCAAGAGCTGATGAGCAGAGGGATTTCCTGGATTCTGTTTCCTGTGGGCTTTGGGTTTGGCTACTGTCAACCCCAAAGCTGCCAATACCTGGGCCTTCTACAAAAGGATTTCCAAACAAACACTGCCTGCTCATTTCCCCTGAAAAGAGGCTAGATGGCCTAGGTTTGTTTATAAAAATTCATCAGCTGAGATACTCAGTTAAATTCAGGCAGTCAAAAAAACACTGTGACTTATTGGGCAGCTACAATTTGATGGTTCCAGTAAAGTCAAAAGTCGTGCCGATCAGCTGAGTATTGCAATAAAAATAAAGCAGAGGCAATGAGAAGAAACTGGTAACTTTTTACAAATCTCTCATTACATAAAGTTTTCCTATTGGAAAGAATTCTACTCACATGTTTGATGTGATGGTTACTATTGATTGTCAGCCTCCCAGGACCTAGAGTTCCCTAGGAGACGCACTTCTGGGCCTGTCTGTGAGGACTCCTCTACAGTGAGCTAAGTAATGTGAGAAGACCCATTCTGAAAGTGGGAAGCACCATCCCACAGACTGGAGGCTCAGACTGAATACAAAGGATGAAGAGGCTGCTCTCTGGCTCTGACTGCAAATATAATGTCATCATCCGCCTCACCCTTCCGTCTCCATGGCTTCCCCACGCAATGAAGCGAGCCCCTTGAATGGGAAGCTGTAACAGACCTTCATCCTACACTGCTTCTTGATTGGTCTCAGCAATTAGAGAAAAGTAACTTACATGGTTGGT